CAGCATCTAATATGAAGTTGTTGCAAACAAAGCTAGGATTCAAAGGACCAGCAATAAAGGAGTGAAAATTAGAGTTGTACCACTCACAATTAATCCTAGTGATCCACTTGTAAAAAATTGCTTTCCTGTTTCAAGATCCTATACTCTTAGGGCCTTGCAGTTTAAGAGTCAAGGGAGGAATGTTACCAATTGGAGGTACAACACCAATTTTATTGAACTGAAAGTTAAGAATGCTCCCAGCCACTTTGGGGTTCTCATGTGTCTGGATCAACAAGCAAAGAATGAATTACATGGTATGACTGATCCTGAATACCAAGGGATGATATTAACATGAAAGTAAAAAATATGCCTGAATTTCAGGGCATTCTTTAGGGTTCTCTAAGTACAATCATATCCCATGATTAAAGCCAATGCCAAACTTATAGCAAATGAAACACCGCCAGTCATAGACCATCCAAATAATTGTTCTTACATTTGATCCCATTGTTGCAGCTACATGTCAATTCATCTTGTTGAGGGCTTCCCTATTTTCCCTCCCTCTACTTTACCAAATATGATATCTTCTCCAGGGACTGGTCTTTCTTTACAACATGTTCAACATATTTGAGGTGAAGTCCTACCATCCTGTCTCTAAGGAGAATTCTGGCTGTACTTGTTCCATGGAAGATTTGTTTGTTCTTTTCACAGTCTGTGGTATTTTCAATATTCTTTACCAGCACCATAATTCAAATGCATTGATTCTTCTTCAGTCCTCCTTTCAGTCCAACTTTCACATTCATATGGAGGCAACTGAAAATATCATGGTTTGGGTCAAGCACACCTTAGTCTTCAAAATAACAGCTTTGCTTTTCAACACTTTAAAGAGGTCTTGTGCAGCAGAATTACCCAATGCAAAGCATCATTTGATCTCCTGACTACTGCTTCCATAAGCAATAATTGTGGATCCAAGCAAGACAAAATCCTTGACAGCTTCAATCTTTCCCCATTATTATGATGTTATCCATTAGCCCAGTTGTCAGGAATTTTTTCTTTATATTGAGGTGAAAGCTGAAATCCTTGATCCAAATCAGCAAGTATTTCAAGTTCTCCTCACTTTCAGCAAGCAAGGTTGTATCATCTGCCTATCATAGGTTACTAATAAGCCTTCCTCCAATATAAACTGATAAACTGTAACAACTCAATTCCATCATAATTACTAATGGTGTGTGCCTTCAGTAATGAAGGTTTGGTTCACCCTACTAGGTGGAGAATCACAACAAACTGAGGTGCTTGCTGAAGACAAATGAAATACAGAATTGGTGCTAGTTCAAAATATATGTAAATACTAGCTAGGCCACGTGATCACTTGCAAAAATGAGGACTGTAATTATTCTGAGTATTTTCTCCTTGTATGTATGCATCAAATATTTGTTTTGCTCACATATAAAATGTAAATGGAGTTAGTGAAATTTTGGTTTTATTTGTATTAGTTGGATCATGTTAGGCATAAGAACATATGTGAAGATTATGCATGGTTTAAGGAGATGGATAAAGGTACCAAAATGACAAAGAGTAGAGAGTGATAATTAAGTTTTACGTTAACTTGGCTGAACCAGGATTCTCAGAGGTTTGACAGTAAAGACAAAATAATTTTGTCAGTAAGACAGTGGTGTAGTCTGCCTTAAATATGTGTACTTGTTGTGGAAAGGCTTTCTAGATTTTAGTTGGGTCTGGATCATGCATCTGAGTCATCCTATGACTGCTACTCTTTGAATATGAGCCAGCAGCTAGCTGTTACTGGGAGTTGTTAGAGTCTGTCATCTTACATGCCAACCATAGTCATTTCCCTTTGTAACCCAACACTTGAAGTCATGACTTGCTGATCCTGGGTTCATGAGCCCCTGTATCTTTGTGAGTTAGGAGAAGCCATCTGCCTCACATCTGACCAGCACCTCTGGAACTTGCCCACTTTAACTGGATGACTTAAACCATTCTATGTATATACCTACTTAAGCTTTACTGGTATTGCTTCTCTATATAGGAGTACCCATAAGACAGCACAGAACTGTTAACTTAACAGTTGGAGGTTCAAGGGTAAGGACCAACTTCCAAGTAGGGGGGAAAATGACTACAATACTTTTAAGGATCCTAAGGGGAGAGTATGCCTGGTAATATGCACCTAATAAGTCACATTGGCCCGAGTTTCTGTACACCCTCTGGAGGCCCAGGACAAGTGTCATAGAACACTGGGGCATTGAATCCTGAATCTTTAAGGCACACAAAATGATCCAAAGGCCATACCAGAGGGATTTGCTGTGGAAATTTCACTAGGTAAACTAGACTCAACCTGAAACAAACCTGTAACCTGATGATTTAAAACTGAAATTACATGGTGTGTGAAGAAGCAGACAACAGCTAAATCAAGAGTACTGAACTGTCGGCAGACAGACCAACATTGTTTTAGTTCATCAATGATGTATTAAGATATGTATTATTCTGGCAGAGCTGTGATTGACATTGTCGGAGAACATTATTGTAAATGTTGCCTGATAACTCCCATTGTTTGTGTAAATAGAGTCCAGCCATGCAAGCATTTATTCTATATAAGTGAATAATTGAGGTATTGTGATGTGTAGTTAGCCTATACTGGTCCAACCTCCCCCTGTCAACAGTGTTTTAGAAATTAGTACCATGGGACATTCACATTATTAACAGAAGATCTTTATGCACCAGGGAGATGAACTATTAAGAGTCTCAACCATAAATTAACAAGGAAGTCTCACACTTAACCTTAGCTATAATCTAAGGACAATTAGCTCTTAAAACATGGTCCTGCTTAATAACTTGTCTACATGAAGGAAGCACAGAAAATATGTGTGTTATAGCAAAGTGTGATGAAGAAATTAGATGGTGCCCAGCTATCAGCTACAATATCTTCTGGAGTCTTAAAGGCTTCTTTCCAAACAAGCAGCAATCTAAGTGAGATGTCAAATAAGTCCGCATGCAAAAAGCACACCAGTATCTGTGACCCAATGATTGTAAATTATATAATCCAAAGCTGAAGGAGGGAATAATATCAGAGCTAAAATTGTGAGATTCTGGTTTACAGAAGGCTATGGATGACAGGAGCCCAAAATACATTTGTGAGATCTACACAGGAAATATTAGTCTCTGCTAATTTCCCCCTAACCATAATTGATGGATAAGCTGGGTACCAAATGAGAGTAGTGGAGAGGTAACTACAGTAGATAAAAATTATAAACCTGACTTGAATGGTTAAAACCCTTTCAGTTGAACTCCCTTCTGATACATTCTGGGATAAATCTGGGTTTCAATCCCCCCCCCCCCCCCCATAATGGGGTTTATCTCTGATGTACCTTGTCATTGTGAATAGTCTTCTTGAATCTTTGTTATGTGTTTGTCTGTTTTTCAGTACATGAAACCCAGGATTTGTGAACCCAGAGAGAAAATAACCAGCATAAGGGTTCCTGGGAGGTATGGTGGGGGAAGGGTGGGAAAGGAGCTGATATCAAGGAGTTCAAGAAAGAAGAAAAGATTTTGGAACTGACTGTGATAACAATTGTACAATACTGCTTGTGAGTGATGTGAATCACATGATGTCTGGATTAGCTACCAATAAAATGGTTGGGGGGGTGGGGGGCGGAGTTGGAGGTTCAAATCTATCCAGAGATCCCGTGGAAGAAAAGACTGATGATCAACTTTAGAAAATACCAGCCATTGACAGTTTTATGGAACTTAAGTATACTTTGATAAGCATGGGATTGTGTGTCACCACAATCAACTTATTAGGAACTGGTACTATATGTCAGGTAATATTTTAGATGCTTTTCACATACTATCTCATTTAATTGCCACTAATAACCCAATGAATTTGTAGCAGTGTCATTTTATATATGTGAAAGGTGAGACACAAAGAGGGTGCTGTGGTAGTTACATAATTTCATGATAACTTGAAGATATATAAAACTATAGGGGTAGTATTCAACTTGTCAATCAGGTTACAGCCTGATGGTGCCTCCTTGTGGTGTGGCCTTCTCATAAAGAGGGTCCACAAAACCTCTCCTTCTATCTCTCTGAGCCTTCACCTATCACTGGTAAGCCACTCTGAGAGCTGCTAAAGCCACTGCCTTTAGATTCACACAACGTTGCACCCACCTACCTGTGATCTTCCTGTAATCTGCATCATTGCATGTGGCTATGTGAGTCTGAAGAGGGATTTACGGACTTGAGTTGGACCGGGCTTGGATATTTCCTTGGGATACAATTACTTCTTGATATAAAGCTCTTTCTTAAACATATATATGAGTGGCACTGGATTTACTTCTCTAGTCAACCTGGCCTAATAGTTATATATTAGGATGCTGTAGTAGTTACATAATTTCCTGTCAACTTGATAAATGGAGTCAAGGGGTGGAGTTTAACCTATCAATCAGGACACAGCCTGATGATGCCTCCTGGTGGACATGACCTTCTCATACAGAGTCTGGAAACTTCCTCTCTTTCTTCCTGGAGGAGGGTTATATTCTCTCTCTGCTTCACTTTCCTGTAGAGGAGACACTCAGAAAGCTGGAGGAGCCATGTGGAGGCCTGTGACAGTGTTGAGATGCTTCCACTGCCAGTGGATCCACAAAACCTTCTACCCACTGGCCTGTGATCTTCGTACGTTTGACATCATTGCATGTGCTGTGAGAGTCTGAAGAGGAATTTATGGACTAGTATCGGATATAAGGACTAATATTTGACAGGGACTTGATATGGACTGGGCTAGGATGTTTTATTGATGCATAATTACTTCTTGATATAAAGTTCTCTCTTACATATATGTGAGTATCAATAGATTTGTTTCGTTAGTCAACCTGGTCTAACACAGATGCTTTAAAAAGTTTGTGGAAAATATCATTATCTTTTAATTCTTTTTAACCATGAACTTTGGAAGACCCTTTTGAAATGATGCAAAAGTCTCTATACCTGTAAAAATTCTATAAATAAGGCAAACTTACCCTGCGTATGTTCGTTGATATAAAGATTCTGGATCAAGACTTGCAGCATCCACAATTATTGCTTCATCAAAATTTTTCAGAATTTTAACACTGGCTTTTTTCAAACTGGACTATAAAAGAAATTATAAATATTAAAAATACTATTTAGGAAATAAATCAGTCTGGGTTTGAAATGTATCTATATAAGGCTTTAATTTTCTAATATCTAACTTCACACAACCCTAACATTACTAAGCTATTTAATAACAATGATTCTATAATGTTACCTCAAAATATAACTCTAGGAAGAAAGTATATTAAATGTGTAATATATACATTTGAAATCATTATCTGTTTATTTCCTTAATAAGTTTAACAAAAAGGTGCTATATTCACAGACATGTTCCTAGATATGCAACACTTCCACTAATCAAGAGCTATGTATCTTGACTAATAATTATACAGCTCACATTTTACAGGAAAAATAGGAAAATTTCTGCTTATCAGTCATGCCCCAGCCAATTTACCAAATTCAAATAACCTTTCCAAAATGACCAGCTAGATAAATGTACTAAGTTCTCTTTGGCATCTCACTCCCTTCCCACCCCCATAAAAAACGCAGGTCAGAATTAATATTTTTGTAAAATAAGGAGCCAAGAGTTGATATAGAAATTCTGGTAAAACTTTAATTACAGACAGATAAATACTTACTAAAAATGATTTATATACAAAATTGCTTACTGGAGCATTTTTTATAACAGTAAAAGTTAGGAGGATGCTTAATGTCCATGACTAACAAATACATTAAATATAAAAATTACTTAAAAGTCATATATTACACTGTAGTTATGAAAAAAAGAGAGGGTTCTCTTTAAAATTGAAAATGAATAATCTTCATAACATATTGTTAAGTCAAGAAGAGGCACCAGTTAACTGAGGGAATACTGACCAACTAATTGTATGTGGCTATTATTACTCAGATACCCAAACCAGATGAAGATATTATAGATAAAAAGACTACACACTAATAGCATTCATGAATATAGATCCATAAATTCTACCTAAATTCAGCAATATATACAAAAAGATTAAGAATTGAATTATGACATCTCTAAATACAAAATGTCTTCAAATCATTGATGGAAAAATTCTATTTTCTTTAAATTCTATTTGTCCATGGCCATTTTTTTGACAGTTTTATTGGGGCATAATCTATATGTTAAACAATTCAATAGTTAAATCATATCAAGAATTGTACAATTATTATGACACTCAATTTTAGAACACTTTCTTTTTTCTTATACTCATTGTAATTAGTGTCCCATTTGCCCACAACCTCCTCTGCCATAGTACTAAGAACCCACTAATCTAGTCATTGTCCCTATAGATTCAACCATCCCGATTTCATATAATGAATCCAAATAGCTTTACAACTATAACAAAATAAAATTTAAAATGGGTCAAAAAGATCAAATTATAAAGGTGTTAAACTTTTACATAACTACATCTGCCAAAATCCACTTCCTAATGCACTCAGCATAATATCTATATAATTGTCTCTACAGTGTTCTCTGTCGGATTACAAGGCTATTCACACCCCTGTAATAAGTCAGAGGGTATTATTCTTCGGAGGCTTAATCTAAGTGCGAACCGTGCAAATGGATTTTGGGTTCCACTGTCACCCAGTCTTCTGTAAACTGGGTATTCACAATTTAAGCTGTGATACCAATCTATACTTTGGATTTGAATTATATTATTTGCAATCTTTGGATCACACAGACTGATGTGCTTCTTCCATGTGGACTTAGCTTTTCCATATGGACTTACATGGTTGTTTGTTTGAAGGGAAGTCTTTAAGACCCTAGATGCTATTCTGTCTGATAGCTGAGCAACATCTAATTTCTTTCTTCCTTTCTTTTTTGCATTTATGTTTTTGCTTCTTAAAGTCATTTTATTGAGGGCTCTTACAGCTCTTATCACATTCTACATCAATTATATCAAGCATATTTGTACTTACGCTGCCATCATCATTTTCTAAACATTTACTTTCTATTTGAGCCCTTGGTATCAGTTCCTCTTTTTTCCCTCCCCCACCCTTGACCGCTTGATAAATTATAAATTATTATTTTCATATCTTACACTGACCAGTGTCTCCCTTCACCCACAGTCTGTTGTTGGACTGCTGGCTGGGGGTGGGGTGTTATGTGTTGATCACTGTGATTGGTTCCACCTTTCTCCCCCCACCTGTCCCCTACCCTCCTGGTATCGCTACTCCCATTTCTATTCCTGAAGAATTTATCTGACCTGGATTCTGTGTGTCATGAGCTCTTATCTGTACCGGTGTACATGCTCATGTCTAGCCAGAACTGAAAGGCAGGACTGGAGTCATGATAGTGGGTAGTGAATAAGCCTCAAAGAACCAGGGGAATATTGTGTGTTTCATCGGTGCTAAACTGTACCCTGGTTGACTCATCCCTTCCTTATGAGGTGATGTCCTTCTGTGAGGAAATGTCCTACAGAAGGGTTTTGGGTCTCTACTCTGCCACCCCTTGTTCTCAACCTCCAGAGGAAGGGGACAAAAGACCTGAACAGAAGTTTCACAAGGGAGAAGACCCGAATGGACAGTAAGCATTATGAGAAAATGTTCCTGATCATTAGCCAACAGAGAAATGCAAATTAAAACAACTATGAGATACCACCTAACACCCTTGAGGATAGCCCAAATTAGAACATCAGAAAGCAACAAATGCTGGAGGGGATGTGGCGAGATAGGAACTCTCCTCCATTACTAGTGGTCGTGTAGATATGTACAGCCACTGTGGAAAGGCATCTAGTGACATTTAAAGCAAATGGAAATTGAGTGACCTTACGGCCCAGCCATCCCTCTACTGGGCATACACGCAAAAGAAGTAAGAAATAGACCGTGGCTAGTCGTCTGTGCTCCAATGTTTATTGTGGCGCAATTCGTGGTCACAAATAATTGGAAACAACCTAAATTTCCAGCAATAGACAAGTGGATTAGAAAACTGGCACATACACACAATGGAGTACTAACAATCACATAAAGCACATCATCTCATGGGAAGAGTTGGAGGAAATAATGCTAAGTGAAGTTAGCCAATCACAACATGATTCCACTGAGGTAAGGATAATCAGCACAGTAGATATAGAAGAAAAGCCACTTATCTCACTATCTTACACTTTACAGGCTGAGGTACAGGCAATGGATCGGGGGACAGAACAAACCCAAGGAAGGACATGTCATTCCAACACAAAGAAGAGAAAATGGGAGGGTGGGAGGGAAGGGGAAAAAAAAGAGGGAGACAATGACACTGGGGGATTGGGACACTAATCCACCCAGGGTGGTGGTGGTATTATTTATGTCTCCACAAAATGGGAGTGAGAGTGCAGACCCCAACATAGTGTGCCAAACCTTGAGGGCAATGTAACCACATGAAGCAACTCATGAACAGAGAGGTCTACAGGGAGGCCCCAATCAGAGCCAAAGTGCACTCCCACTCCCCACCCCCAATGCCCAAAAGTATGTGTTCCAGAAGACATCACTAAACCTACAGGTTGGGGAGAGTGGCTGGCCTGTCATGCCCACATGGAAGCAAACCAAGAAGGAAAAAGAGTGAAGGACTAAACCCCATACTGGCACACCAATCCAGTACAGGTATGTCCCTGCAGGGAGCTGCTAAGGCACAGAGAGGATGTAGGGATGACAACAGCTCGAGACATGATATCTCCACGTTGAAGCATACAATGATAGAGGACAATACTGGGGACACATGGCGGGGAGTGAGTCTGGTCTGACCATCCTCACAGTGTGGTGAACCAAGAAGGGAACATAACAGATCAGCAATAGGAGCAAAGCCAAGCCACAAAACCCCTGAGGAGTCCCCAAATAGACTTCGGACTAGGAGGGCAGTTCCCAGAAACCCCTAGTACAGGTGGGGAGATAGTCGCAGAAAGGTTAGCAAACAGACCTGGAATTATGTATGCTTTTTCAGGTTTTTTTTTTTTTTTGTTTGGGGGGGGGGCGGGCTAGTTTTTACCCCCTCTTTTTATTCAATCTTTTGTTTTCTTTTTGTTTGGTCTCTGTTATTGTTATTTTGCCTACCTATATAATATACACATGGGAAGCAAGCCCAAGGAGAAAGCAACAGGAACAACAGTTCCGGAAGGACTTGAGGGAAGGAGGAAGCGAGCGAAGGGAGTGGTGAGCAAACAACACCACAGACACGGGAACAACTAGGGAATTAAAATCACCAACGAGGAGGAAGTCAAGATCCTGGTGGTCTTGGAGCAACAGCAAACTAACTGAGAAGAATTACTAAGAGGCAAAAGAAGGGGAGAGTGATGGTGGGACAGGAGGGAGGTAAAAGGAAACAGAGGAAAGATCTAGTAAGCAAAGTTATGGACAAAGGTATAAACTTAAATGTATACTTATGTAAATATATTAATTCATAAAAATCGAGGTATTGGCCTAAGTACATATATTTATAAGGCAATACAATTGAGGAAGTGGATGGACTTTGGGCCTCTGTTCAAACATCTGGTTTCTTCACCACATTTTTCAATAGCACCCCTCCCTTTAGTGATCTCTTCATGATGACGAGTATCAAGCAAGGCCATGTCATCAAGAACTAATTGTTCTTAGAGCGAGCTCAAATTTAGTGGGAGCCCAAAATCCCATTGGCCTTTCAAAAGCTCCATGTATATGAATGTGGTTGCATACAAGTAAACACACCCAGGTGTGCAGGCATGAGCCTGCATACAGGTGTGTATGAGCATGCAAGCAAGTGCATGCACATATGTACACAGAGACGAGAGTTAAGTAAAAATGTATTGTTAATAAGGTTCCAATTTGTGCATGCACAGGTGTATTCCAAGCAAAATTAGTTCAAATGTCTCTGCTATCAGGATGATGATAAATTTCATCAATAACATATTTGTCTCAATCTCATAAAGGTGCCATCCAAAAACAGGATACTACTTCTTGTATCATGGGGGGAAAAATCCGGAAGTCAGGGGTTTTATCAGTTTTGTAACAAAACATGAGTGGACACTTTCCCAAATCACCAAGACTTTGCAACATGTTTATGGAAATGCTGCCCCACATTAAACA